AAAGGAGCAAAGAAAATGAAAAAAACATGCATTTTAGTGTGGTCAAATGAGCTCCTTTTTATTTGATTTTTGTTTATTTTTTAAAAATATTTTCGTATCATTTTTAAATTGATTTTTATGTTTGAGATTACTTTTAATTTAGTTTCTAACTATTAGGACTCTACGTATCTGAGTCTATTTAGAACTTCTTATTCTTGTCACATTGTGTGACTCTCTACTTCTTATCCTTGTCACACTGTGACTCTCTATTGTATATATTTACATCATCTGATCTCATTATAATCAAGTTCAGTTCATACAATTCTATCAATTCTCATCTGGTATCAGTTAGCTAGGATTTTTTGTCTAAAACTCCACAAGGGTCGCCAATTGAATAATGCGCACGTAGTAGTATTAAGAACAAATTGAAGGAAGCTAAAGATTACATGCACACCAGTTCTCGTACCTCATCCTTACGCCAAAGTGCCAAATTACTTCAATTTCACGCCGACAATAACATACGCACGAATCTTCGCGGAGAAATTCGAACACAATATATGGCAGTTTGGCAGAGATTTCGTGGCAGTTGTTCAATGTCAAATGTTCAACGAGGTAGTCGTGACCTTCATATTCAATGTCAAATTTGTAGAGATTTCGGTCACACGGGAGCTAATTGTTTATGGCCCTATGATAAACTGTGTCAAATTTGTAAAGGTTTCGGCCACACGGGAGCCAATTGTTTTTGGCGCTATGATGATCCGTGTCAAATTTGTAAACGTTTTGGTCACACGGGAGCCAATTGTTTTTGGCGCTATGATGATCCGTGTCAAATTTGTAAACGTTTCGGTCACACGGGAGTCAATTGTTTTAGCGTTATTCAGGGGCTCCGGGTTCTCAAGCTAATTTGGAGTTTCAGAATGATTTAGGTGCTAAAACCTCGTCAAATTCTCATACATGGGTTCCGGACACTGGAGCCACAAATCATGCAACTCCAAACATAGATGCCCTTTCTACCTCGGAGAAGTACACTGGTAATGACACTTTACGTGTCGGTGACGGTATGGGTTTATCTATTAGTCATGTTGGTCATGCATCTTTTAATACCCCTTCTAGATCATTTACATTGTCTGATATACTTCACGTTCCACGTTTGTCTAATTCGTTATTATCTGTTCAGAAGTTTGCATCCGATAATAGAGTCTTTTTTGAGTTTCACCCCTCTTTTTTTTTGTTGTGAAGGATATCAATACCAAGGAAATACTTCTTCAGGGCAATAGTTCAGGGGGACTATACACACTTTCATTACCTAGTTCGTCTCCGTCAGCGTTTCTTTCCGCCCGTGCATCGGCTTCCACTTGGCACAATCGTCTAGGTCATCCTCATAACCGTATTCTTAGCCATATACTTCAATCTTGTTTAGTTAGTGGGTCTCGTGATAATATTCGTTGCAATAACTCTTTATGCAATGCGTGTCAATTAGGCAAATCTGTCTGTTTTCCCCTACCTCGTGTTGCTTCCTCTAGTTCTCAAGTACTAGATCTTATTTACATAGACATTTGGGGTCCTGCGCCCACTTTATCTACTTCTGGCTTCCGTTACTTTGTGATCTTTGTGCATGACTATTCCCGTTATACATGGTTCTTTCCTATGAAATTAAAGTCTGATCTTTATGTCATCTTTGATAAATTTTGTACTCTTGTTGAACGGTCCTTTAATTGCAAAATAAAGGTCATTCAGTCTGATTTAGGTGCTGAGTACAAAAAGTTGCATTCTTCGTTTGTTCAATTAGGAATTCAACATAGACAATCCTGTGCCTATACACATGAACAGAATGGTCGTGTTGAACGAAAACATCGTCACATTTTTTAAACTGGTCTGGCTCTTCTAGCTCATGCATCTGTTCCTTTGAAATTTTGGAATTTTGCCTTTGAGACTGCTGTCTATTTAATTAACAGAATGCCATCTTCTGTATTAAATAACTCCAGTCCTCATCTCTTGTTACATAAATCCCCTCCTTCCTATCTTTTTCTTCGTGTCTTTGGGTGTTTATGCTACGCTCATCTTCGACCATATAATCGTCATAAGATGTCATACAGGTCTTCTCCATGTGTCTTCCTAGGTTATCCTGAGTCCTTTAGGGGGGTACAGATGCATGGACTTACATACTAATAAGATTTACACATGCAGGCATGTCAGATTTGATGAAGAAATTTTCTCCTTTGCTACTAAAACTTCTTTGCAGGATTTATCTACTCCATTTTCTGGACCTTGGGCGGAATCTGTTCCCAGTCACAGCGCACCTATTCCTGCCGTGTCCAATGATGAGCCGCCAGAACCACCGCTACTAGCTTCATTCGAACCAGCCGTGGATCCCGGACAGGCTGCCTCGTCGGGAGATCCGGTGGAGCCCGTTGCTCGCCAGCGAGGCCGTCCACGTGGGCGGTCCACTAGGCCCAATGTCCGTACTCACTCTATGGCCACTCGTAGCAACGCATATGCTCGTCTTTTTGCTCTAGCAGCTCAGGTGCATCCCACGGAGCCCACATGTCACTCTCAAGTTGTCAAATATCCTGAGTGGCGTGAACCCATGAGCCAAGAATTCAATGCTCTCATGCATAACCACACATGGTCTCTAGTTCCACCCAATGCGGGTATGAATATTATTGGCTGTAAATGGGTGTGTGGTACGAAGAGAAAGGCTGATGGTGCTATTGAAAGGCATATAGCCAGGCTGGTTGCGAAAGGTTTTAATCAGGTTCCAGTCCAGGACTTATTCGACACATTTAGTCCAGTGGTAAAGCCTACAACTATAAGACTCCTTCTATCTCTAGCTTTATCATCTGGTGGTCTATCAAACAGCTAGATGTTCATAATGCTTTTCTGAATGGTAATCTGGCTGAAACAGTTTATATGAAGCAACCCCCTGGTTATATTGATGCTAACTTCCCGAATTATGTTTGTTTGTTAAAAAGATCTCTGTATGGGTTAAAACAAGCTCCCAGAGCCTGGTTTAATCGACTACATACGTTCTTACCATCAGTTGGCTTTCAAGCATCCAAGACAGATGTCTCTCTGTTCTATTACTCTAAAGACTCTGCTTTGGTTTATCTCTTGGTTATACGTGGATAACATTCTTGTAATGGGAAGTGATCAGGTATTATGTCTCAGCTCTTGTCCAAACTGTCTGCTACATACAAAATCAGAGATCTTGGTGAACCAAATTTCTTTCTGGGTATTGAAACAGTTAAGAGTGACAATGAGATTATTTTATCTCAACAACGGTATATGAATGATATTTTAAAACGGGCTGGAATGTCTGAATGCAAACTGCTTTCTACACCTATCTCTGTCTCGAAAACTGTCCCCTTCAATTCAGATCTATATGATGATTCCACACAATACAGGAGTCTAGCTATACTAATATTACATATAATATTATGAAAATTTGTATTGTAAATAACCTCAGTCAAATATTGTTAATCGAATCAGACACAAAATGGGACGTTGGGAGTACTCTATAAGTTTTGATTGAATTTGTTAGTAATAAAAATTATAAACCAAGTGTAAGGAAAAACCTTATTACTCCTTATTTTTTAGTTATTTGTAGTTGTATATTAAATTCAAACATTTCATTCATTTTTTAGAGAGAAAAAAATATTTAATGGATAAGATGAATATTAAAATTTTCTCTATTCTTATTTAATATTTATTTGCACTAATGAATTGTTTTCTGCTTTTAAAAATGAATGAATTTGTTAAATTTCATGGGTTAGAATACGAAGTAAGTGATATTTCAGAAATATAAAATTCTCTCTCTTCATATTTAATAGATGTCCAATTTTTGTTTTAAAGATCAAGGGCAAATGACACTTTTTCCCCCTGAGTTATATACTTATAGCACTTTTTTCCCCCTAAATTATTTAAGTGGCTCTTTTCCCCCCTAAAATGTTAAATGGACATATTTACCCTTAAAATAAATATTTCATTTATTTTTCTTCTCCAACAAATTATTACTATAATTTGGTTCAAAACAAACAGATACTATAGCAACCAAACCAAAATATTCCAATTACAATTTAGAATCAAAACGCGATATTTAGAGTTTATTAAAATCGCAAACCGGAATGGTCGGTTCATGTTCCGAACTGAAAAAATAAAATACATCTATTGTTGAATTTAGACTATTTTAAAATAAAAAATAAAATAAAATTTTAAAATAAAGACGGTTCAAAATCGCGAACCGGATCCAGAACCGCCGGTTCACGGTTCATGATCCAGTTTTTTTGGTTCATAAATTTAATAAATTGAAATTCAAATATTGGGTTCTAGATCTGAATCATAACCGAAAAGTTTTAATTCGATTGCTATAGTGTCCGGTTTAGTTCGAACCGAACCGTGGTCATTGCTACATATACACAATAATTTGTTGGAGAAGTAAAATAAATAAAATGTTTACTTTAAGGGTAGAAATGTCAATTTAATATATCAGGGGGAAAAACCACCACTTTTAAAATAATTGAGAGGGCTAATGTGCTTACATAAATAATTGAGGGGGAAAAAATGCTATAAGTATATAACTTAGGGGGAAAAAGTGTCATTTTCCCAAAGATCAATATAAAACATTTTGTTTTGCCTAGCCTTTAACCTATACATAATACATTTATCAATTAAAATTTAATCTGATCAATTTTTTTTATTTTTTTTTTAATTTAAATCATGCAACATTCACAATATAATTTTAATTCAAAGAGATGTTTTTGCCATAATATGTTTTGCATCTATAACACGATGAATGTTCAGCTACATTCACTTGTAAATATACGATTCTCTACCGTAAGTGTATAAATTTTTTACTATAAATACATATATTCACTATCATAAGTACATAAATTCAATATTGTTGGTGACATTTTTAAAGTTGTTTTCAGAATTGTTAACCAAGTTTGGTACCCTACACAAGTGACAAATAAGTTTGAAACATGCCTTGGTTGTTCTAAATGAAATCATAAGAAACATCAGCATATGTAAAATCTAGTAGAATTAACATTAGCAAAAAGAAGAACATTCTTGGAGTCTACTGCTTCCGGATTCAAAATACATTACTAACATTATACTTACAGAAAAACGTAGGAAACAAGGTGCATCCTTTACATCCAAACTAAACCCACAGAGCTTCATCATATGGTTAAACCATCCAGTCCTTGAGCATAGTCTTTGCCCTTGATGATGACAATTTGTGCTTTTGGAGATGCCCGAGGGAAGCACAGCAACTCCCTTCGGAACTTGATCACCGTGCAGCCATCTTTTATAAAATAAGATTCCGTAATAACAACTCTCTCTAGTATAGGGGATTTTGAGAGCAGCATTTTCACAAAAAACATTTCAATTGTAGATCCACAAAACAGATCAATCTTGATTGTTTTAAGCATTTTTAGATCCTGATTAATAATGCAACTCTCCAGATCCTTCAGAAGTGTTGAAGCAGCTTCTATGTCATCATCTGAACATGTCTACAACTCAAAAACAAATAAAATAAAATAAAAAACATATACAACTAACCATGAGGAAATAAAGAAAACAAAAAATCATGACGGGCAAATATATACTCTATAAAGGTTTTTGTCTCGCAAAACTTACTCCTGTAATGGCCAGTTCACATAGGTTGGGAGATTTTTGAAGCAACTGCAAAATACCCATGAGCTGCTTTTCATCGGCAAACTTGAAAGAATGCAGTTCGATTACTTGCAGATTTATTGCAGTTGGGAAGGAGGCTACTTCAACATCTTCCCAATTCTTTAACAAAAACAAAAGATTATATAAGACTTGAAAAGAACTCTAACAAACCAGAAGGAAAAGAATATTTAATCTGTCAATACGATAGTCCATATAAGAAGGAAGATAGATTCTCACCAACAACAAGCGGCCCTCCATGCATAGAACCTTAATTGCTTTCAAATGAAGTGCAAACCATCTCGATTCAACCACACATTTATCACCAGTAATAGACAAGCTTTCAAGTTTTGGAGCACTAATCTTAAAATTATTGATCCCTCCACAATAAAATAAAACAAGCTTCTCAAGATTAGGAATACTATACACAATTCCATTAGCATTATGATTAAAAACAACAGACCGGAAATCTAATGAAGTGACAGAGGGAAAAATACAAGGAGCATTTAGTGGGAAATCAAAAGACACATCGCAGAGTCCCAGCTGCTTGATTGTCCGGCACGAGACTATACAAAGAGGCAGCTTATATCGACCTTCCCCATGAGAGAGGTAGACTTCCTCAACGCCATTTCTTGATAGAGAAAGAAACCACTGATCTAAATCGGACTGCTCCAGCTTAGGTGAATTAAATCTGAGGGCAGTGATGGCTAGACTAAATTTCTTCACGGGTCGAACACGCTTCAAGAGAATGTATGTTATTACTTTAAAATAAGATACAGGACCATGACCTTTGTAGTTTCCGAAACACCCGAAGAAGTTCCAATCAAACGCAAGCTGTCCATGCTGCAACCAAACATCATTCCAATGGGTTGAGAGTAGAGCAGTTCTGGCAGCGTCTCGGGTGGGCAAACACTCCAAAATTTTGTTCTTTACCTCTCCCGGCAGATAACTTATTAGATCCCTACTTGCATCCGGTAGGGGTTCGATTTGCAGACGTTGAGCCATTAAACTGAAACAACAATGAGGCGTCAGTCGAAATCAAAACCAAAAATCGTTGGGAGAATCTGCAAGATTTCGTAAATAAAAGGAGATTGGGAAGAGTTGGGAAGAAAAAAGTGAAAGAAACCCTTACCTCTGTTGCCTCTGCCCTCTGATTTTTGGTTTGGGCCTTCGGCGGGTTATGGAAGCCGAAGGGCAATTGTTACAGTTGTTATATTATAGACCGCGGTGCATAATCGATTATGCACCGCGGGCTATATACGGCGCCGTATTTTTAAGTAAAGAAACGGCCCGCCGTTAGAGTTAATGGAGTTCGTTTGTTTGGTGTATTAAACACCGGTAAATTATTGTGTGGACCATGGTCCACATAATGTTATGTGGATCATAACAAAAATTACATTTTTAATAGTAAATGTACATTATTTTTGTATTGAATGTATATTATATAATATAATGTACATTCAGAACAAAAATAATGTACATCCCCTAAATAAAATGTACATTATTTTTTTATTGAATGTACATTATTTTTATATTGAGTGTACATTATTTTATAGTAGACAAAATATGGTCCACACAATAATGATTGTTAAACACCAACTGACATTATAGTATATCCAAGCCGATACTGTAGTTATATCAAAATGATACTGTAGTTATAGTGAAATGAAACTGCAGTGTATATAAACTGAAACTGAATAACATTTCACATATTTGAGTGTATATTGTACAATGAAGCTGTAATTATATCAAAATGATCATGTAGTTGTGTTTTAATAAAACTATAGTGTATATAAAATAAAATTAAATAACATTTTCACATATTTGAGTCTATAAATATCGAATGAAACTATAGTTATATCGAAATGAAACTGTAGTTGTGTTCAACTGAAACTGCAGTGTATACAAAATGACACTGAATAACAGAGTTACTTTTTACAAAAGGGTGCGAAACGGCGGAAATAAACACTGTTAATTTTCATTTAAAAAAAAAAAAAAGACGTGCGGTGCATAATCGATTATGCACCGTGGTACATAATATAATTTGCCCAATTGTTACGATCATTATTGTGTGGATCTCATATTTTGTCTATGGTAAAATAATATATATTTAGTACAAAAATAATATACATTCAGTAGAAAAATAAGGTACATTGTATTCAGAGAATATACATTATTTTTGTTCTAAATGTACATTATATTATATAATGTACATTCAATACAAAAATAATGTATATTTAGTATTTTAAAAATGTACTTTTTCTTATGGTCCACATAACATTGTGTGGACCATGATCCACACAATAATTTGCATGATCCACACAATAATTTGCCCAATTGTTATGTCATGGATCCAGGTCCACCTTGTAAGGTGGACCCGGATCTAAAACGACGCATTCAATGATTTTTTTTAATTTTTTTTTTATTTTTGTAAATATACAATTCAAAAATTGTGAATATTGAATTCAAAAATTGCAATTGTGTTATACTGTTGAATATACAGTTCTTTTATTTTGAATATAGAGTTATTAAATTGTGAATATAGAGTTATGAAATTGTGAATATAGAGTTAAAAAATTGTGAATATAGAGTAAAAAATTGTGAATATTGAGTTCTGTAATTTTGTATAATGAGATTTAAAATTGTGAATATTTAGTTCTAAAATTGTGAATATAGAGTTCTAAAATTGTGAATATCAATAATGTTGCCAAAATCGCGCCTAGGCGCCGCCCGGCCGCGGACGATTAGGCCGAAATCGGCCTCCTCAGCGGCCGGGCGGCTAGGCGGCTGAAACAGCTGAACAATTTTAATTTTAATTTTTTTTTTTGTGTTAAAAAGTGTAGAAACTTTAGCAAGGCATAACTTTTGACTCGGTTGTCTGTTTGGGACAATTTTTTTTCAAATCTCTTATTTAGATGGTTTCAATAATATTCAAAACGATTTTACAACCACTTACGTAAATAATTTGTAACAAAAAGCTAGAGGAACCTTATGTTTTATTATTGAATTTTAAAAATTTTAGTTTAAATTTTATTTTTTAAAAAAAAAAATTAAAAAAATGCGCGCCTAGGCGCTAGGCTCCTCCTCGGCGCCTAACATGTTTTGCAACGTAACCTTGGTGAATATAGAGTTCTAAAATTGTGAATATAGATGAATGAATACTGAAAACAAACGGCAAGTTAACGACAAGGAAAGAAGTAATTTTTTAATTCAGACGGCGTCATTTTAAACCAAAATAATGCCATTTTAGATCCGTGTCCACCTTGCAAAGTGGATCCGGTCCACAACATAATTTGCCGCCAAAGGAAACCAGAATGCTAATCATCTTGAAGGGTTTAAACTTTAAATTAAAGGAATATAATATTACTATTAATTATTTAATTTTAATAATATGATGTTTGCTCCTCATCTTGGTTTAAACATGTTTGGGGGAATCAATTGTTATACAGTGGATCATGGTTCACATAGTGTTGTGTGGATCATGATTGTCAAATAAAAATATACAATAATAATTAAAATGATAATTTAATGTTACTCTAATGAAATTAGTGTGTTTGAAAAATAAAATTAAAAAACAAAACTCATTCAGCAACATATATTGTCAAATGAAACTCTAGTATAATTAAAACGATACTTTAGTGTTGTTATAATGAAACTAGTGTGTGGAAAATGAAACTAAAATCCAGAGTCATACAATAACATATAGTCAATTGAACCTGGAGTGTAGTTAAAATAGTACTTTAGCATTATTATAATTAAACTAATGTGTGTGGAAAATAACATTACAAAATAGAGCTCATGCAATAATGTATATTGTCAAATGAAACTGTTGTTGAATTAAAATGATACTTTGATATTGTTATAATGAAACTAGTGTGTTTGAAAAATGAAACTAAATAACAGAACTCATTCAACAATATATATTGTCAAATGAAACTCTATATAATTGAAATGATACTTTAGTGTTGTTATAATGAAACTAGTGTGTGGAAAATGAAACTAAAATTCAGAGTCATACCATAACATATATTGTTAATTGAACCTGGAGTGTAATTAAAATAATTATACTTTAGCATTATTATAACTAGTACTCCACCCGTGCGTTGCACGGTATGAAAATAAATAAATAAATTCATAAACAAATAAATATATTGATATGTATTTATATTAATGTAATCATATATATACTATTAATTACACATACATATGATTACATTAATATATATATATATATATATATATATATATATATATATATATATATATATACACACACACACACACACACACACAAAGACAGGTATATAGTTACACATAGTTGTACATATACGATTGCAAAAATAGTAAATAATTAGTAAGATCACCCAAATAACATGCAATTTATAACAAAGATTTAATAATATGTAGTTGTTATGAATTATTAAACACTTCTTTGTACACAACATTCATCGTTGAAGAAACACACTTTCCATCTTTGTTGCAAATGAGTAACTTAAGCCCTCTTGGTGAACTGACTCTAGACAACGCAACATATAGCTGGCCATGTACAAAAACAGGTTTTCTCAGAAGTAGGCCAACAGTAGAAAGCGTTTGTCCTTGACTTTTATTTATTGTCATTGCATAGGACAGCATAAGTGGGAATTGCCTCCTTTGAAATTTGAAGGGCAATGTACTGTCAGATGGTGTTAGGGACAGACGTGGGATCAGAACTTTGGAGCCTGCTGCATTGCCAAATAAGAGCTTTGCTTCAACAACGTGGTCTGCTAATCTTGTAATAATTAACCGTGTACCATTACACAACCCAGCTGAAGGGTCAATATTTCGCAACAACATAGCAGGAGACCCAATCTTCAATGTTAAGCAATGATTTGGTAACCCAGAACATTTTAGCCCGTTCAATAACTCCGGAGTGTGTAACCCAGCCACAACATCAGAGGTACTCTCAGTGGGGCAGACCGAATCAGAACTAAAATAGGTCCTATACTCGACAACATTCAAGTTGGTCATGTACGCCATTAACTTCGTCTACAACTTCAAGAGTTGGTGCCAAAATTGCTCGACTAATTAGATAATTAGCGTCATGTTGTTGTTATCGAAACATAGGAAATGTACTTTCCACAATTCATTGGATTGGATCACCATTTGTATGCAACAAATTCTCATGTGGAATGAGAACCTCTACGTCACCATCATTTGGTCCACCAGCTTCACCATCACCGATTGAAGCAATCCAATTAGCAAAAGTAGATAACTCTTGTCTTTCATCATCAGTACCAACACTCTGCAATCTCAAATTCTGTGTCAATCTCAAAACCGTACAATGAGCCCACAAATACGAAGAATTAATAGCAGCACCAACAATATCCTGTCTACCACCCCTTGGTATCACTGGCAATATTTGGCGGAAATCACCTCCTAGTACAACAGTCTTCCCTCCAAATGGTAAATTAGGACACAATGGATTTGTAAATCGTAACAAATCTCGCATGGTTCTATCTAATGCTTCAAAATAGTGTTTATGCATCATAGGAGCTTCATCCCAAATAATTAAACTACATTTGATGATCAGTTCAGCTAAATCACTCCCCTGTGATATATTACACGTGGAATCCTCATTCACAATAATCGGTATTGCAAATCGTGAATGCGCAGTGCGCCCTCCAGTCATTAATAATGATGCAATACCACTGGATGCCACATTTAGAACTATCTTGCGCTGTGATCGAAGTGCAGCCGACAAAGTGCGCCACACAAATGTCTTCCTAGTACCTCCATAACCGTAAACAAAAAACAAACCACCTGTTGTACCAGAAACAGCTCCGATAACTGTGTCGTAAACATCTCTCTGCTCGGTAGTTAGCTTTGCTACCATGTCATCATGTTCATTGCTCAGCAATGCACAATCATATGACAATTCTTCTAACAATAATCGATTATGAGAATTAGCCAAGCTAGACAATTCAGGAACGGGCATACACGGGTAATCCCCCAAACTCTTACTCCATGTCGACAAAAGTTTCTCTAATTCAAGCAGACCATACTCCTTCTTCACATCGTCTGATAATAATAAATCTATATATAATTTTGAAACTAATATTAATGTTTAGTACTATAAAAATGTTATAATCAATAATTATATCATACAATAGATAGTTTAATTAGGCATTTCGTGAATACAAATTTACCTGGATTTTGTAACTCTCGTCGCCGATTGAACTCTGCATCATCACATAGAAGTGGCCAAACAACATCCCAAATTTTTTCAGGTTGGCATAAACAATTAGACGTTAACAAAGTCACGAATAAACGGCGAAGAGCTGAGGCAGTGGACCAATGGCTTACTTCAAGTATTGCATCAACATATTCCTTCTCATCACAAATCAAACCACGAGCATAACACGCATCACGGAAACATGAATATTGAATCCCATCAACATTGCGAATCTCTTCAAAAGATATTGGACCACGAACTAAATTAAATAAACACCTAAGATAGAAGATCTCACCAGTACCAGGTGGCACATAAAACATACGGCCTATAGCAAAACCACATCTTCTTGGTTGCCATTGACGTTCTTTTCTTTTCCACACAAAACAATGAGGCATTTCTCTATAGGTCAATTCCCTAGCTCGGGGATACCTCTTATTAGCTTCAAACCATGCTAAAAACATACTACTCTTAATTGTTTGTCTTTCAAGCACATTCTCAATAGATAAGTCATCATCAAAAACAATGTTTTGTTCATTCGGCAGATGGAAGCTTAACCGTTCTACAGAGGGATTACGGAACTGGATGTCATAGCTGAACAAACGCCACATAACTTCACACGGAGAAATATATCGGCAATCATAATACATATTAATCTCATCAATAACTTCGCTACTATCTTCAGAATTAGTGCTCTTATAAAACTGTGCAGTAACTCGGTCATTGCCTTTGTTGACATATTTAAACAAATATTTTATTGACCGAGATTGACTACACCACTCAACATTAATGTGTGCTCTATACTTCAGCAGCAAATATCTATTGTGGGGCACAACAAATCTATTATCCAGCTCAACACCACTTTTCAGAATTGTCCTGCCATCATCCTTATGCCTATAAATAGGGTAACCACTGGAATCAATAACTGAAGATTCTATAAATTTCTTTGGGAAGTGTTTTGAACAACGGCCTTTAACCATGCACGGAGATTTTTTGTTGGCAACACCACATGGACCGTGTATCATAAACTCCTCAACAGCTTGGTAATATTCTAAATCATCATCCATACTTGGAATCTCGGCTGAAATAATGGAATCGATATCATCACTGAGCGCGTTAGCATCAACACGATCAAGGAACAATAGTATGTGTGCATGTGGTAACCCGCGCTTCTGAAATTCAATAGTATAAATCACTGCTAACAAAAGCGGAAAGATAAGAAAGTGAATAGAAAAGTTAATACATCGCTAGCGGATTGTAGATTACAGACCTGCCAAAATTTTACCGAAAACAGTTCCTGAACGAAGCTCTCTTATTAAGCAATCCAATTTCATTTTAAAAACGCGGCACAAAATATCGGGCCGGTCTTCTGGTTTTAATAGCCTTTGCTCTAAAAAGCGTTGTATTTCTGGCCATTTTGGATTACATGTAAATGTAATGAACAAATTTGGATAACCAATCCAAGCACAAATTGCCATTGCATCTTGATAATTTTGAACCATATACCGTGCACCACCCGTAAAGCTAGAAGGTAAAACAATTCGTCGACCTTGAGTTCCAGGTTCAATTTCCCCACGAGTCAATGCGTCAAACAAACCTCTATAAGATCCACAACGTAGACTCTGTTGATGCGTACGGACATACAACAATCTCCCAGATTCCACCATCATATACCCATCGACTAAAAATTGTTGGAACAATCTTTTCGCAAATAGAAATGTTGAAATCTCACCACATCGTTCATGAATACGAAATGATAGGTATTCACGAAGAGAAATACTATGCCTTCTTCCTGTATGAATATTTTGTTCAACATTAAAAGGAATATCTTCTCTATAACCATCTTCACCATATGGAAACAGAATTGGATACTGAAGAGGGAGATATGCAGGATTAAGCTCACTAATTCTTTTTAGCACACCCGATCTTGTTTCTATCAATATATCTCGCTGACCCAACGTGGGATCCAGATCACCAACAATTATAGCTGCAACCTCTGACACTGTTGGCAAATTATATGTTTTGGCATCTTGGCTACGCTTCCCTATCAATTTCATCCTAACTTCCACAGTCGGATTGGTAACTATTGCATCGCGAGCCATCCGGAATGATTTTATTAGAACGTTATTTTCATCCAATGTTAATTGAAGGTCAAAAACAATATCTTCATCTAGTTTGTTGAGATCATTATTCCCCCTAAAATTCAAAAGATATTGATATCACTTGATAATTATGTATGTATAATTAAAAGAAATAATATTCATTAATAAGACATAATATACCTGACAGAGTTCAATCGATTACACATCTCATTTTCAGGGTCATGAATGTATAATTGTGCAAATTTAGGTCGATTTCCTTCAATAGGTAACAAACTACCCAACAAATGAAAATTTTGTCCATTCAACCTAAAAATTGGAGGCGCCCTCCCTGTATTCACTTCTTTGTCAATACGACCTCCCATAGATGTGAAGCTAAACATGTTATTATACGATCTTATATGCTGCAAAAAATGCTTGCTTCGTGCACACGGTTTGAAAAATAAGTCAAGAATTGTTTTTGGTGGAACATTCAACATCGGCAACTTAATTTTTCCATTAAAGCAACAAACTGAATATCTCGGACCACCATTCACTTTTACCTTCTTCAATCTCTCTTCCGACCAAAAAAATGCACTACAATGAGTACACTTAAAAACTGGATCTCCAAGGTCAATATACAACTCTACAATAGAATAAATCAATTAATAAATAATTAAGATATACAAATCAATAGAATAATGAACAAAAAAAAAACAAATAAGCACCTAATAATATAATATTGATTAGACCCATTAAAGGAATAAATATTTTAAACTAATTGAACTAAATTATTAAATTCATTTATTTTAGAGTCTCTCTCACACACACATACACACACACACATATAAATAAATAAATAAATAAGTAAATATATATATATATATATATATATATATATATATAAAAGTATATAAATGAACAATATATATTGACAAACTTAAAGCTCAATAGAAACAAATTTAAACAATAAATTACTTTGCATAATTATTAATTTAAATCCATAAATGTTAAAATTATATATGATATATCTTGTATATAATTTCATTTCAATTTAATCTTTAAAATTTTGACATCAGACTTCCAGAATATAAATTTCACAAAATTAGTAGATATTAATATATATGGTCACAATATTCTAATCATAACATTTATGGATATAATAAACTAAGTGTTAACTTAAATTCGTATAATTATCATTCTAATACTTAGTTTTTTTACTATTTATTACATATACATATGATTACAATAATATAAAAAAATTATACGGAAAGCTTTAAAAAATTTTGATTTTAAAATTCAATAAAATACACAAAATCATATATACATATTCAATAAAAAGAACACACAGAAATAAATATATTCAATTTACAACAACATAATGTTGACATCAACACATTACAAATAAATCTAAATTTAATTGCACAATAACACCATTTAAATACACCCAAAAAAAGGTCTTGGCTAAATGTATTTAAAAAGCTTTTCCATTGGTATTATTATATTTATATTGTATTTATTACAAAGCCCAACAATTATAACAAAGTCATTAATAAATAATTTTAAATAAAAAAAAAATTAAAATGCAAGATGGTAAGCGCTCACGCATTCACCTCCGGCTTCCCTTCTCTCTATCGCATTTCTCATTGTAGAAACTCCAGTTTAGATCTAACACCCCATCACCATTATCAACCAAGCTTTCCATCTTCCCCCTTTGAGTCCTTACCGTCGGCCAGAACCCACCGACTAAAGGGCCCAAACATTGAACATCGAAAACTCTAGCATACAAATCGTCGATCAGAAAGCTCTGGTTTATAACAAACAGAAAGCTTCGCGATCTGTCTTCTCCGACTCTCATCTTCTACAATGCTACCCTCCGTAAACACAAAACTCAATCATTTATACTACTCAGTTCAACATGCATACCGGAATTACCAAAACCAAAAACCTATATACTCCAAATCGTCGACTTCTACTACACCGAACACCAAAGGCGAAATTCATACCATAGAGAGCAAGAATCAGCTACGATCTACCATAAATCGTCAGTATCAATAAGGTAAAACACAATTTTAACAACTTCCATTTTTGTTTTGAGACTTATTTAAGAACTGCGAAAACCTAGCTTCAAATTTGAGACAATCAGTATACTGGCAACTGGTGTTTAGTTACTTAAGTTAAGTTTCATTGTTTGGTACTAATATGAGCTTTGTATTATTTGTTTATATTGGTGTAGCCATTTGGTCAATAACCCATAGCAGAGGAATTCCAAATTGCGGAGACTCACAGAACATTCAAACACACACAGGCAACAATCTCTGGAAATGGTAAAATTTACCTTAATTGCTTTACATATATATAGAAACTGAGTATGTTTCAGCACATACATATAAAGAACTGCAATTTATATTGCAGATAGGAAAATAAAAGCAGAAAAGTTGAGGCAAAGTTTTGCAGGTCTTTATTTATTTGCTAAAATTACAAAGAAGGAAAACAGGTATGTTAAAATAATACCTTTACTTTCTTCCTACAATTTTCTTTTTCCACATATGGTAGTTGAGCCTTTCAATTTTTTCATTATTGTTGCAATAGTTTGTTGGAGACCTGCAAAATTTGGGTAGTGAATGAATTGAATGCATGTAGATGCTCTGTTTAAATGCTATGCATATATAGTTAGGAAATTGAATAGAGATGAAAAGAAGTCACTATCAACAAATAGTTACATTAGTCAAACCTTACCATCAACAATTAATGCTTGATAGAAGCTATAGGTGTATTTAAAAATAATTTGTACCTGTATGTATTGAGTATGGTGCACCTTCAGTTTGAGTGGAAAATTTATATGTTTTTTTTTTTTTGGAAGGACATGGTATTTTGTAAATGTGTTCTAAATTATTTGAAGCATTGCAAGAAAAATGGAATTATAAGGGGGCGTTTACTAACTTGGAAAAATGGAGAATTCTCCAAAAAAATGGAGAATTGGAGAAGTGGAGAAAGGAGAATTGGAGAACTTGTTTACTAAATCTATTCTTCCAATTTCAATCTCATCTCCATTCTTCCATTTCTTATACAATTTTGGAGAAATGGAAAACAACATTCTCTAAATGGAAGGATGGAATAAAACGCGGGTGAACAGTAAAATTAAGTAAGGTCGTTGGTTCGAATCTAGCTTACGACAATTTTTTATTACTCCTTCTAGGGTTAGTCCTTCTCTTCTTTCTTTTCTTCTCTCCCTGGACTGACTGTAGTCTATCGCCTCCCTCCCCTTCCCATCATCTCCTTCGCCTTCTTTCTTTCTTTTCCCCTCGTCTCCAGTCCTTTTTCTTCCCATTAGCCTTCTTTCCTTTTACCAATCGTTCGCGTAGCAGCCTTCCTTCACGTACAGCAAAGAGGAGCGTAGCAGCACTCCGACAAGCCGCACAAGAACTCCGGTGACTCTACCGTTTTTGGTGAACCTTGCATCTCAACAACTCAACACGGACTCTCCAAAATCTTCTGTAGGATCTTGTCCAAGTCCACAAGTAATTATCTAAACCTATTTTTATTTATTTTGATGAATGTTATCTCATATCTAATTTCTCTATTACTTACAGAACCCCATTTTGAGGTTCTGATTTGAGAACCTCAAAATGAGGTTCTGATTTGAGAACCTCAAAATGAGGTTCTGATTATAGAACCTCAAAATGAGGTTCTAATTGTAGAACCTCATTTTGAGGTTCGGTTTTGAGAACCTCAAAATGAGGTTCTGCTTTTAGAACCTCATTTTGAGGTTCTGATTTTAGAACCTCAAAATGAGGTTCTAATTGTAGAACCTCATTTTGAGGTTCCAGCAGAACCTCATTTTGAGGTTCTGTTTTGAGAACCTCAAAATGAGGTTCTGCTTGTAGAACCTCATTTTGAGGTTCTGATTTTAGAACCTCAAAATGAGGTTCTAATTGTAGAACCTCATTTTGAGGTTCCAGCAGAACTGGAACCTCATTTTGAGGTTCTGATTTTAGAACCTCATTTTGAGGTTCTGATTTGAGAACCTCAAAATGAGGTTCTGATTATAGAACCTCAAAATGAGGTTCTAATTGTAGAACCTCATTTTGAGGTTCTGATTTTAGAACCTCAAAATGAGGTTCTAATTGTAGAACCTCATTTTGAGGTTCCAGCAGAACTGGAACCTCATTTTGAGGTTCTGATTTTAGAACCTCATTTTGAGGTTCTAATTTTAGAACCTCAAAATGAGGTTCTGATGTTAGCTCAATGGTAATGTTCTGATTTTAAATGAGGTTTTGATTTTAAACAAGGTTTTAATGGAAATTGAATAATTAATGAAAATTGTAGATGAGTAATTTACGGAATACGCATGACGAAGATGCAAAGTGGTTGGATAGTACCTTGGTCGTTTTTCTTGATATTTTATACGATAGGATCAAACGGCACCCTAAGATGCAATGCACAATTTTATACGGATGCATGATGCTATGGACCAATTATTTACCGAATATGAAAGGGAAGACATGGAAATGCCTAGTAGTAGTGGAAGCAATGGTGGAAATGATCCCATAGAATTAGATATGTCTCAACAACATGTTATGCATGAAGTTCGAGAAGACATAGCAAATGCTATATGGGGAGATTGTAATCAATGATGTTCTTGTTTTATAACCAAACTATGTGTAATGATTATAACAATTACAATTTATTTAGTAATATATTTTTATTAATTTTCGTTAGTTTTACACATTTAGTATTAATTTATTGCATTTTTTTATTTTGAAGTTTGAATTTGTAAAATGAAATTTAAAAAATTTGGAGAAATGAAAAACTGGAGAAATGGAAATGGAAAAACAGAGAAATGGAGATGGAAAACTGGAAAAATGGAGAAATGAAAAAATGGAAAAGGAAAAACAGAGAAATGAAGTAAACGCCCCCTAAATTTCTGGATTCTAGACAAATGGAATTATTGCTAGACAAATTTTAAAAGTTTTTTTTTTTTTTTTTTTTTTTTTTTTTTTTTTTTTACAATCTACTCCTGCTAACAATTTGAAATTAAACATTAAACTTAGTATTGGAAAAAAAGGTGTTTGATACTTTTTTTTAATCCAATTTCTTGTGAACAACTGTATGTATATATAGTTTTTCAATATTTTTTTTCTTTATAGAGCTCGTTTTTAGAAACATTACAATTCTTTTTCCCTTTCCATATTCGATTACTTGTATACTTTGATGCAAAGCTCCATTATGTGTTTGGATTATTTATTTGAATACTTCTCAAATACCTCAATGGTGTGTACATTAGGTACTCTTGCTAATACAGCTTCCAAAAGAGCAATCACAAAATAGGAAAATAGACTATCTATTTTCTAAGAGTACATTGTAGCTTAAGCAATTTTCTAGCCTTAAACACCAAAAAGGAATAGCAAAAAACAACAGCCAGTCAACACTTAGTACTTCTACATTACATTTAAAAAAATAGAATAACCTATTACTTTTATTCCTTAACCACCACTTCCTTAGCCTTCTTTGAAGTTCCAACATCCACAAAGTCTTTAAATAAAGACCTCTTAAGAGGCAGTTAGGAAATTGAATAGAGATGAAAAGAAGTCGCTGTCAACAAATAGTTACATAGTCAAACCTTACAATCAACAATTAATGCTTGATAGAAACTATAGGTGTATTTAAAAACAATTTGTACCTGTATGTATTGAGTATTGTGCACCTTGAATTTGACTGGAAATTTTATATGTGCTTTTTTTTTTTTGAGACAGTTCTCATTTATTTTACCCAATACTAATTACTAATGCTTTTAAAATAGAGGCAAATGATGAAAAAAGGAATCTGATGTCATTGTTTTATTACTTTTATATTGACAACAATCAAATTCTTTTATACTGCTACTTGATATATTTTAGCAATTTTATTAGGACTTTGCAGTCAAAAGTATTCAAAAGTTCATTTATTAAATATATATGATTATGATTATAAATATATTTCCAGAAATTTACTTTGGAAGGACATTAGTATTTTGAAAATGTGTTTTAAATAATTTGAAGCATTTATTTGAAGCATTGCAAGAAAAATGGAATTATAAATTTCTGAATTCTAGACAAATGGAATTATTGCTAGACAAATTTTAATTTTTTTTTTAGATGTACTCGTACTAACTATTTGAAATTAAACATTAAATTTTATACGAAAAAAAAGTATTTGATACTTTTTTCCCAATTACTTGTGAACAACTGTATGTATATATAATTTTCCAATATTGTTTTTTTTTTCTTTATAGAGTTCTTTTTTAAAAACATTACAATTCTTTTTCCTTTCCAGATTCGATTACTTGTATACTTTGATGCTAAGCTCCATTATATATGTGTTTGGATTATTTATTTGAATACTTCTCACTGTATAGGTTAACTGCAATGATTAGCTTCTAATCATAAGTAGGTAATTTTACATTAGAAAACTAAGTAGATTATAAAGATCTTACTGGCTGCTACTAAGGATAAGTACATTAGGTACTCTTGCTAATACAGCTTCCAAAAGAGCAATCACAAAATAGGAAAATAGACTATATCTATTTTCTAAGAGTACATTGTAGCTTAAGCAATTTTCTAGCCTTAAACACCAAAAAGGAATAGCAAAAAACAGCAGCCAGTCAACACTTAGTACTTCTACATTACATTTAAAAAGATAGAATAGCCTATTACTTTTCTTCCTTAACCACCACTTCCCTAGCCTTCTTTGAAGCCCCAACATCCACAAAGTCTTTAAATAGATTCCTCTTAAGAGGCAAAACAGCACCACTAACACCTACACCAGGTTCAATGTCATCTAAGCCACGAAACTTGTCCACATTGACACCCTGAGAACCACCATCCAGCTCAACACATTCTTCATTATCAGTACCAAAGCATTCCTTTAGGAAATAACATTAGGGCCAATGAATAAGACCATAGTGGCAAAGTTAACCAAACAATGATAGAAGAATATACCTCAGAACTAACATCACCATCCTCTTCTTCATCCAGAAAACCACCTACATCACCTGGACCAATGGTTGGTTGTGAAATGCCAGCTGATAGACTCGAGCAGTACTGTGTAAGAGATGCTTCATCCCTGCAAATCCTAAGTACTGTGAATGCGGAATAGTAACTCTCAACCTGCTCTTTCTTCATAGCAATCCGAAACAGCATTGACATGCCACGCAAACACCCTAACTCAGATGGAATACAGCCATTCCCCTACAAAGTTTTAAAAACAGAAAACACATGCACAACCTATTTAGTGAATTTTCACCATTTAAGCACATAGGTATGTGACATAGAAATACCTACCACTGCATACTTAGCCTTTAATTCACCAGCTGACAAACCAACCAATTCCGCACATTCACGATCCCACATCAGCATAGGAGCATCACCAGTATGATCAGCAACACGGACAATAAGCCTATACCTCACAACTCCCTCATGCCAAGAACTCTTACACCCAGCACAATACATCATACCACCATCAGAAGCAAGCTTTTTCTTGCAAGAATTACTCTTGCAAGAAATGTAATACCAGTCACTTAAACTCTCTACATCAACAATTATACCTGCCACCCAATACTCCCCTAGCTGCAAGTAAGATTGAGTTAAATAAATAAAGTAGGAAAAAAAAGGCCAGTAGAAAATACAAAAAAAAAAAAGAAGAAGAAGAAGAAGAAGAGATTACCTGTTTTTTGGAGTATATATCTTGAATAGAACTGAGTACCACATTTTTAGGATGCACAGCAATGCCAAAACTACCATCAGACAATCTGGTTTCAGAATCTATACACCGTAAAGGTGTATGATTACTGGTAAAGCTAATAATAAAGAACATGTAAATAAAAATTAGTAACACACAATTGAGTTATTAAGCAGAACACTAAAAATAGATTAGAAAAACTAACCTGCTCCTTAACTCACGGAATTCTTAGCATGAGTGTGTGAAAAACAGTTGAGTAGCATCAAATGAACTGCAAATGCGCACTTCACCATCTGAAAAATAAAAGTAGTGAATAGGACATAATTTTGATTGCAAAATGACTGGTTTTGCCTATTTATTCTAAATTGTTTATTTCCGACTGTTTTGGGCATATTATAAATGGCTGTTTACTTATGTATCATTGTTTATTAATGGTTGTTTACTGCAACAGTCTCATGTGTTTTTGTTTTTGTTTTTTTTTATTTTTATTTATTCAGAGCCAGTTTTCATTTAGTTTACCCATTAGTAATTACTAATAACTATTACTAATAATGTAAAATAGAGGGAAATGGATATTACTAATAATGTAAAATAGAGGGAAATAGATAAACCAAAAACATAGAAGAAGTAAATAGAGATATAACTCATTGTCCATGAATTTAGCTCTGCAGAGCTGAATCAACAGTATAACTGGATCCTTAGCAACTGAGTTGAAGTATGGAATTAGTTGATCCACATGCTCATCCCACAATGTACACTTAATCTGCCTCTGACTACATACCATTTTAAAACCAGCAGAAAAAGCATAAGATAGAAGTTTCAAATCAAAATTAGAGAGACAAATCAGAATTAGGATTCATACCTAGAATCTTCAAGCACAAAGTCAATTAGTCTAGCCTTCTTCCCTGCTATTAGCTTCTCCAATGGAGAATATATCTCCACAATATGACCAAGGACATCTGAATTTAGAAAAAACAGCATAGTAGTTAAATAAAACATAACATCATAATAGAGGTAATAAATCATATATATTGACTTTAGAATTTTTATTTTAATATAACCTATCAAGACTTTCTCATCAATTCCCTGCTTTGAAAGTATGTCTTCAAAACTCTTGAAGCGAAACATTGTTTTGGGAAAATTCACACGCTTATATTCCTTCACAAGTGTATCATGTTTGATCTTCATCATATAACGATGAGGGCTTGTTTTATACTTGAAGAAGTTAGTGATGCGTAGGAAGTTTCTAATGCCATACACTTTACCCTCCTTGAATATGTTCTTATATTTTGCCACAACATCCTTAGGTATATGGACATGGATGAACAGACCCTGTATTTAGAACAAAAGTGGTAAACAACAAAGTTAGATATTAAAAATATAAGAGGTGCCAAACATAAGAATAAGAATTCAAACAATGGTAGATATAGATATAATTGACAAACCTCTTGATCATGAAATATACATTCTTGACTTCTTATTAACTTTTCACCTTTGTTTTCAGTAACAACGTAAGAATGCACACAACGCAACCTTATAGCCTTTGAAGTTTGCTGAGGATGAAGCTGACCCCCCACAATAAACTGGCCAGACATGATGACACTGCAAGGCAGAAAATAGAGCATTAAACAGGATCTTTGACAGCTTAGGTTTCTATTTGAATTGCATAAGGGATCAGCAATCCCAACCTTGTAATTTACCACACTTAGCTTTGTTTTTGCATTGAAGCTCAACACTCACAATAAGCATGTATTTATAGCCGAGGAAGTGAGCGGGAGCAATGTATAAATAATAATAGAGTGCATGTCCTTGTAAGTAATCCCATACCCATCCACACTACTTCTACACGCAACCTAGTCTGATTACAACACTAAATATGGAGTAGATAATAGCCCACTACCCTAAATTGTAGGAGTAAGATCACAACTATCTTATCACAATCTAAATAGGCGGGAGAAACAAAATTTTTGAAATAAGACTTTATAAGCTAAAGGAAAACGACGCCGTAGAATATTGTGGCTGAAAAACAATTTTGATATTTTTTTTGGATAAGAAGCGGCTTCCTTTATATATATATATATATATATATATATATATATATATATATATATATATAGATTAAAATAATGTTTGTGGAAAATAAAATTACAAAATAGAGCTCATGTAGTAATTTATATTGTCAAATGAAACTGCAGTAGAATTAAAATGATACTTTGATATTGCTATAATGAAACTAGCGTGTGTGGAAAATAGAACTGAAAACGAAGCAATATTGTCAAATGAAACTGAAGTGTACTTAAAATGATGTTGGAAAAAATAGCTTAAATGGCATGTTAAGTGGCTATTTTTGTGGTACAATTATCAGTGGGGTCCACTTCCGATTTGGGTCGAGTCAAAGTGGATTCGGTTTCTTCGTAGTGAGACGAAGAGATTGATATATTGTACGCTCAAAACGGATAATGGGTGAATGAGATATTGATTCTCAAAGTAGACCCATTGAGTTGGAAAAATGAAGGGAAAAAGTGAAGCTTTTGTCCCACATTGGTTTGGGAAGTGGATTTGCACAACTATTTATACAAGAGCTCTTTTAAAACTCATTGAATTCTATTGCATAAAGGTTCTCTCTTGTGCGCAGGGGGGGTGCAAATCAAATCTTGCATTTGAGATTGAAAATGCTTGATTTAAGCTTAAGCATGCCTTGCAAGTTAAGTTATGCCAAACTTTGGTATCTGAGTCCGGCTATCTATGAGTCCAGCAGCGGGGGCCGACCAGCTCATTCTGCCGAATCTATGAGTCTCTGCGAGGGGCCGCCAAGCGAATTACGGTATTAATTCCTATTTTAAAGTTCGAATTTAATTTCAACATCATGGGGCTCCTGTTTCTGGTGTTACAAATTGGTTTCAAGCCTAAGCTCGTGTATGCGAGCATGCCTTGCAAGCTAGGGCCGACCAGCTCATTCTGCCGAATCTATGAGTCTCTGCGGGGGGCCGCCAAGCGGATTACGATATTAATTCCTATTTTAAAGTTTGAATTTAATTTCAACATCATGGGGCTCCTGTTTCTGGTGTTACAAATTGGTTTCAAGCCTAAGCTCGTGTATGCGAGCATGCCTTGCAAGCTAAGTTATGTCAAACTTCAGTATCTTTTTCCATCGGCCGAAACTAGACCAGCTCATTCGGCCTTGTGTCGAATATATGAGTCTCTGCGGGTGCCGAAACGAGCGCTGGTGGGAGCCAAGCGGATTACGGTATTAATTCCTATTTTAAAGTTCGAATTTAATTTTAACATCATGGGGCTGCTGTTTCTGGTGTTACAAATTGGTTTCAATACAAATTTTAAATGCCATAATAATGCTATTGAATTCCTTCAGCCCTATATAAGAAGGGGTAGAGCAAGAGCTTTTTACAAGAACAACAAGTTCACATACTTACACGTTTTCCAGCTCCAAAAAATCTTTGCTTCTACTCCTTTCTTTAGCCAATTGTGTTTATCACATTGCTCTAGTTCGCCGGATTCCTTGTTTAATTTGGGTGCTCAAACATTGAATCGTAGTATATTTTATCTTGGGAAACCTAGGCTACAACGCTCATAGCACTTGTGGAAGGTAGCAAATAAGGTTTTAAGGAAAGAGTGATTCGCTCGACTTGTGCTAACCACCTACACCAACCCGAACCGTATCTCTTCACCCTTTCCTTCCTAAATTTTCTATAAATAATACTCTTTATTTTGTAGGATTATTATTGGATTTTACCAACGAAATATCCAACAAATGATACTTACTCTATGCACCACACTGTTACATAAACCATGATCCATAGTAAAATTTGCCTGGAAAAATATTCTCTCATCTTCCCCCACCACCGCCGCTGGACCGAAACCATCCGTTTCCGGAATCATAACCCATAATATGATGTTTTTTCGCATGGGATATCAAAATGTGCTGAATTTGAAAAGTAGAAAAAACAAGGAAATGAGACATTGATGTTTCTTCCAACTCAAAAAAAAAGCGGTAGGAGCAGACGAGCAGTACCGTTTGTTGTGAATTTTAAAGAAAATGAAAAAAAACAACGTATAATACTACTTATTATACGTTAATCATTACAAGAATATGTTAATCAAATACCTACGTTAATACATGTAGTGTAGGTATCACTACTGGAAATTATGAAATTTCCGACCACCTGAAATTGATCTTAAATCAAGTTGAAAGCCTTGTTCCGACCACTTTTGGTATCCGGAAAAACCTTTGTTGCTATTTCCGACCACTTTTTGGTATCAATTTAATTTAATATCATTTTCAGATGGTCGGAAATTCAATAATTTCCAGTAGTGTATTTGATTAACATATTCTTGTAATGATTATGGTCATGTCAATTAATTATTGATTTGGTAATGATTATGGTCTTATTAGTTTTTTTTTTTTTTTTTTGTGGAATGTTACTGGCTCTATTACATTGTAGTATCTGTTCAAACATATTTTTTCAACCTAATGAAGTACACAGAGTCAACAACGCCTCCACTGAGGTTCGATCTTATGACCTCACACATGGGAGAAGTCACTACATGTCATCTCAACACTTATATTAGTTAATAATTAGATAAGAATATATAGATATATATATATATATATATATATATATATATATATATATAAATTTGTAGTATCTTATAGAATATTTTATTGGTAATGAATTTTTTTTTTAATATTTTACTAGTATTTTCACCCGTGCAATGCACGGAATGAAGTTGTTGTAATATATTAAGAATATTTGAATCGTTATATAATTATTTAAATTAGAACATTAAATATTATATAGTGCAATTAACGATATGATTTGAATCGTTTATGTATTTTGATGTTATCATTGTTTGAATTTGTGCAAATAATTGCTCAAATTAATAGATAATGTCTAGATGTACGCATGCAGTGATATAACTTTGAAGATTTTATTTATCATTATTTTTATAGATTAGGCAAATGTGTTCGTTCTCTAACAACTCGGTTATAGGAATGAATTGATATCCTAATTGATAAGTGCTTATTTGTCTATATTTTCCCCCCTTTCACTAAGCCATTTTGCTTATAGATCATTCCAAATTTCATGAGATTATGATTAAATTGTGTTATTTTGCAAGGAGTTTTGTTTGGAAACAAAGATGAGAATTTTCAGGCATTTTGGTGGACATTGGAGTCAAATGGAGCATTTTGGATGCATTAGGAGTCCATGGGAGCCAAGGAGAAGCTATGGAAATGGGAAAAACACTTCCAAGGAAGCCTAAGGGTGGTGCTTTGAATGGTCTTGGTCATTTGAGCAAACCAAAGCAAAAGAGAAGCAAAAGATCAATGCATTGCAATTCCCGACCTGCACGTCGACGTCATAGTATTTGGATCATATCTCGAGCTAGAAATATCCAATTGAAGTGATTTTTATGTCATTGGAAAGCTAACTTGAAGGGCTACAACTTTAATCCAAGTACCAAGGACAAGGGCAACAAAATCAAGGACTTGGGAACAATCAAATTCAACAAGGATCTTCCCAATCTTCTCAAGATGCGGACATGAAGACATTAATGAATATGATGATGTCTCAAATGTCTCAAATTGGCAAGTTGCAATCCCAAATGGAGAACCTACAAGCCCAAAATCAAGAAGGAGGCACTCAAGGATCTACACAAGCCTCATCTTCTAGTGGTAGACTTCCGGCTAACACCGAAAATCCTAGAAATCATGTAAATGTCATCACCACTAGAAGTGGAAAATCTTTGAAGGATCCACCTTTTCCTTCTAATGATCTTACACTTGAAGAAGATGTTAAGAAAGATGAAGATGAACAAAGGCCAATTGAAGAGGAAATTGAAAAAATTCTTGAGGATGAAAATGAATGTGAGCCTCTAATTCAAAGAAACAAATCAAAAGGGAAGGAGCCAATTCAAGAAGGAAGCAACTCAAGTAAGAAGAATGTGAACAAGAGCAAGCAAATAGATGACTCGGTGATTCTTTGCAACTTGTTTCCATTTCCACAAAGGTTGTGGAAAACAAAAGAAACCGAGAGAGAAAACAAGTTTAAAACAATGCTTGATAAGTTGGAGATTTCTATGCCCTTTGTGGAAGCCATTACTCAAATACCTTCATACAAAAAATTCTTGAAGGATATTTTGAGTAACAAGAAGAGATTGGAGAAGAGTGCGGTAGTGGACCTTAGTGAGGGAGCTTTGACATGTGCCGTTCTCCAAAAGAATTTGCCTCCTAAGTTGAAAGATCCGGGAAGTTTTTCTATCCCTTGCATTGTTGGAGGATTTGTGGTGAGCCATGCTTTGTGTGATCTTGGGGCTAGTGTGAGCCTTATGCCATACTCTCTATGCAAGAGGCTCAATCTTGGAGAGCCCAAGCCCACTACCATGACACTCCAAATGGCGGACCGTTCCATCAAGCGCCTGGTGGGAGTTCTTGAAGATATCCCGGTCATGATTGATCAATACTACATCCCGGGAGATTTCATGATTCTTGACATAGAGGAGGATGCCAAGGTTCCAATAATCCTTGGTAGGCCATTTCTAGCCACCGCCGGGGAAATCATAGATGTCAAAAGAGGGAAGCTTGTGATGGAGGTAGCCAGCCATAAAATTGAGTTTGACATCTTCAAGATGGCCAAACACCAACCTTCTTACATTGACGAGTGCAACATGGTGGAAGCCATAGAAGAATGTGTTGGAGAGGTGCTTGGGATTGGAGGAGATAACCAAGGAAGCTCTCTTGTGGGAAATTTCTTTGAAAAGTTGGGAGAGTGCACCCAAATCAAGGTAGACCTTGGCATGCAAGAGTGGAGAAGCAACTTTGAAAACATGACGGGAGCTCTTGCCATTCTTGAACCCCTTGGAGAGGAGCATGCCCCAAAGGTAGAATTAAAACCTTTACCTCCAAATCTCCGGTATGCTTTTCTTGGCTCTAACTCTACTTACCCGGTGATTATTAATTCTTCTTTGCACAACGATGAAATTGATAAATTGCTTAATGTGCTTAGAAAACATAGGAGGGTAATTGGGTACACAATTGGGGATTTGATTGGCATTGATCCTAAGTATTGCGTGCATAGAATCTATTTAGAGGACAATGCCAAGCCCATTGTGGAGCCTCTTAGGAGATTGAATCCCAACTTGAAAGATGTGGTAAAGAAAGAGATTCTAAAGTTGCTTGAGGCCAACATTATATACCCTATTTCGGATAGCAAGTGGGTTAGTCCCATACATGTTGTTCCGAAAAAGAGCGGTATAACGGTCATTGAAAATGAGAATAATGAGTTGATTCCTACTAGACTTGTTACCGGGAACCGAATGTGCATTGATTATAGAAAATTGAACAAGTCTACTAGGAAGGATCACTACCCCCTCCCATTTATTGACCAATTGCTTGAAAGAATGTCCAAAAACGAATATTTTTGCTTCTTAGATGGATTTTCAGGATATTTTCAGATTTCTATCCACCCAAGGACCAAGAGATGACCACGTTCACATGCCAATATGGCACCTTTGCCTTTAAAAGGATGTCATTTGGTTTGTGTAACGCACCGGCCACTTTTCAAAGATGCATGATGGCTATTTTCTCCGAGTTGGTGGAGGAGATCATGGAGGTGTTCATGGATGACTTCTCCGTTTATGGGAAGTCATTTGATGAATGTTTAATCAATCTTGACAAAGTTTTATGTAGGTGCCAAGAGGTGAATCTCGTGCTAAATTGGGAGAAGTGCCACTTCATGGCAACCGAAGGAATAGTTCTTGGGCACAAGGTCTCGGCAAGAGGAATTGAGGTAGACCCGGCAAAGATAGAAGTCATATCAAAATTGCCACCGCCGACCACCGTGAAGGGAGTGAGAAGTTTTCTTGGGCATGTCGGGTTCTATAGAAGATTCATAAAAGATTTTTCCAAACTTGCAAAGCCCCTTACTCATTTGCTTGCCAAAGATGTTGATTTTCATTTTGATGAGTCTTGCCTTGTAGCATTTGACAAGTTGAAGGAGGCCCTATGCCATGCTCCCATCATTCAACCCCCCGATTGGAGTCTTCCGTTTGAGTTAATGTGTGATGCAAGCGACTATGCGATTGGGGCGGTGTTGTGCCAAAAGAGGAACCGAAGCTATCATGTGATCCATTATGCAAGCCATACACTTGATGAAGCCCAAGTGAATTATGCAACAATCGAGAAGGAGCTCCTAGCGGTGGTGTTTGCCATGGACAAATTCCGGTCTTATCTCATGGGAAGCAAGGTGATAGTTCACACCGATCATGCGGCTTTGAATTATTTGTTCCAAAAGAAAGATGCCAAGCCGAGGTTGATCGGTTGGGTTCTTCTTCTTCAAGAGTTTGATTTGGAAATAAGAGACAAAAAAGGCTCCGAGAATGTTGTGGCGGACCACCTTTCAAGACTTGAAAGACACAAGGAAAATGAGTTGCCAATTGATGACTCATTCAAGGGAGAAACACTTTTCATTTTGAGTGAATTAGGAAGAAATTATGTGCCTTGGTTCGCGGACATTGTGAATTACCTTGTGAGCGGGTACATCCCAAAGGATTTCAATTTCAACAAGAAAAAGAGATTTTTGCATGATGTGAGAGATTACTTTTGGGATGAGCCCCTATTGTTTAAGAGATGTGCAGATGGAATTGTGAGAAGGTGCATACCGGAGGAGGAATTTCTAAGTGTTTTGAGCCATTGCCACTCTTCACCATATGAAGGACACATGAGTGCCGACCGCACGGCTCTAAAAGTGCTACAATCCGGTTTATTTTGGCCTACTTTGTTTGCTACCACTAGAGAGTTTGTGCGTAAGTGTGACAATTGCCAAAGGACCGGCAACATTGGAAGAAGACACGAGATGCCTCAAAAGGGTATACTTGAAGTGGAGTTGTTTGATATGTGGGGGATGGACTTCATGGGTCCATTTCCTCCTTCTTTTGGGAATGAGTATATCCTTATAGCGGTGGATTATGTGTCAAAGTGGGTAGAAGCAATTGCAACTCTGAGGAATGACTCAAAGACCGTGCTCAAGTTTGTCAAGAAGAACATATTCTCCCGATTTGGCATGCCAAGAGCTTCCATAACCGACAATGGCACACATTTTTGCAACAAGCTTTTGGAGAAACTTCTTCTCAAATATGGTATTCATCACCGGCTCTCTACGCCCTACCATTCACAAACTTGTGGGCAAGTAGAGTTGGCCAATAGGGAAATCAAATCTATTCTTGAAAAGGTTGTGAGTCCAACAAGAAATGATTGGTCTTTGAAGCTAGATGATGCATTATGGGCCCTAAGGACCGCATTCAAGACTCCTATTGGTGTTTCTCCGTTTAAACTTGTGTTCGGGAAGTCATGTCATTTGCTGGTTGAGTATGAACACAAGGCATATTGGGCAGTTTCAAGGTTGAATTTGGATGAGGACTCGGCAAGAGAGAAGAGGTTGTTACACTTGAATGAGCTTGAGGAGTTCCGGATGGATGCCTATGAGAATGCAAGGATCTACAAGGAAAGGACCAAGTACTTTCATGATAAGAGAATTTTGAGGAGGAACTTTGAACCGGGGGACCAAGTGTTACTCTATAATTCAAGACTCAAGTTGTTTCCCGGTAAACTCAAGTCGAGGTGGTCGGGCACTTTCCGAGTAGTGGAACATTACCCATCGGGCGCCGTTTCAATTGTGGCTAAGTCGGGAGATCCTTTTATGGTGAATGGGCAAAGGTTGAAGCTCTTCAATGAGCCGGAATTCAAAGAAAAGGAGGCTAATGTGGTTTGGGATCTCTTCTATCCCTCATACACTTGAACACCAAAGGTCAAGTCGAGCTAGCGACGTTAAACGTAGCGCTTCATGGGAGGCACCCCATGTTATCTTTCATTTTATTGCACTTTACTTTCTTCTTTATTTTTCTTTACACTTTTATTTTTGATATATCATGCTCTCACTTGTGCTTATTGTGCTACCTTTTCCCCCTTGTGCTTTATTTTCTTTTACATCGAGGACAATGTAATTTTTAAGTGTGGGGGGTGGACAAAATATTGAAAAAAATTGAAATTTTGAAACTTTTTGAAACTTTGCTTGGATGACTCATTGTGCATAGTGTTTGGAAAATTGTCTTTCCTTGCTTGAAGTTGTGATTACTCCCTCTTTGTTGGTTTGTGGTTTGTTTTGGTGGAACTTGTTGCAATTCAACTTGTGATTGATGAGCCAAGGGGTAATACATGATTGATCTATTCTCTTGCCAATAACCTTGTTAACCACTTAATAATTGAACCAATTCTTGATCTTGTGTGTTATGCATTGCTAGTGAAGGCTTATGTGAGATTCCGGTCATGGTTGTTTTGCTAGAACTTGCCTCATTACTCCCAAGTGAAGTCTAAGATTTGCATGTTTAGAAATGATTTAGGCCATTTTTGTTTAGCCCGAGCCTTTCAAGCCTACCCTTTACACATGTGTTTACCACTAGTTGTCCCCGTTGAGCCTTTTGTGTTTGTTTAATAAGTGCTAAGCACTTGTCCCTTCATTGTGATTGTTTTTCCTTGTGTTAACCCTCATCATTTAACCCTTAACCCCTAGCCAAAATATTTCCCTTCACCCTTGAGAGAATAGATAATTTATTATTTTTCTTTGAAAAAAGTCTTGAAAAAGAGATGAAATAAGAAAAAAGTCTTGAAAAAGAGATGAAATGAGAAAAATGAAAAGAAAAGGAAGAAGAATAAAATTTTGAAGATTGATTATAGTTTGTGTTGAAAGTTGTACTCAACCCCCACCTCTTTAGAGTGTTGATTTGTGTCAATTGTAAATTGCTCCTTTTGTCGATAGAAGTTATATCTCTTCTAGCTCCAATTGTGAATAAATGTGAAGTTCTCTCCTTTGTTTTATTCATATACCCCTTCTTTGTTAACCTTTCACCCTTAGCCCCATTACAAGCCTAATAAAGACCTACTTGATCTTAGCATGCAATCTTGGAGTTGAACTAGTGGAAATATTGATAAACATTATTTTTAGTGTTATTTTTAATGATACTTTTTATAATTAATTTACAATAATTGATGGACAATTTTAATATGTATGTCCTCGCAAGTGCACGAATCAGTTGTAGTGATAGTGTGCAATAGCAAGGGTCGAACCCACAATCAACTTAGCATTTGTGCACACTTGATCACCACACACTTAAATAATTTTGGTGCTTGGTTATTGGCTTGAGAATTGAACTTGTGTGGAAGGCTAAAATGATTCTTGAAACAAGTTGTCTTGTAGCAAGTTGGTTTGTGGTTTGATAGGTTGTGCAAAGTGGGAGTATGATCAATTTCATTGCTAGGTTGGTGATTTATTTATTGTCTTTGCTTGAGGACAAGCAAATGTTTAAGTGTGGGGGAGTTGATAAGTGCTTATTTGTCTATATTTTCCCCCCTTTCACTAAGCCATTTTGCTTATAGATCATTCCAAATTTCATGAGATTATGATTAAATTGTGTTATTTTGCAAGGAGTTTTGTTTGGAAACAAAGATGAGTATTTTCAGGCATTTTGGTGGACATTGGAGTCAAATGGAGCATTTTGGATGCATTAGGAGTCCATGGGAGCCAAGGAGAAGCTATGGAGATGGGCAAAACACTTCCAAGGAAGCCTAAGGGTGGTGCTTTGAATGGTCTTGGTCATTTGGGCAAACCAAAGCAAAAGAGAAGCAAAAGATCAATGCATTGCAATTCCCGACCTGCACGTCATAGTATTTGGATCATATCTCGAGCTAAAAATATCCAATTAAAGTGATGTTTATGTCATTGGAAATCTAACTTGAAGGGCTACAACTTTGATTCAAGCACCAAATGCTAATTCAAACGTTTCGAGGGTGAAAAAGTACCTACAAGACAGTCGTAGTGCACAGGAAGATCACTTCCTGGTGGCCACGGGTATGGCCACGGCCGTGGCCACACCCGTGGCCACTGTGCAGTACACACTGCCTTTCTGACCACGGGTGAAGCCACGCCCGTGGCCACACCCGTGGCCAGGCCTCTGCAACTTTTCTATGCTCGTTTTTGCTCATTTTAAAGGGGATTTTTGACCCCAAAAACACATCTTTCACTTCCTTTCATTTCCTTTCATTTCCTTAGCTTAGATTAGTCTAGTATTTCATCTCTAACTCATCTACAAAGCTTGTAATCATGGATTGGAGTGGGATTCAACCACAAAATCTTCATCTTCAATAGAGAAGTTTCTTACTCTTCTTTTTAAGCTTTTGTGCAATGTTTATGATACTTTCTTGTGCTTTGTTGTTATTTATGCTTATGAAGTGTGAGTAGTTCGTTTTTGGGCTTGGATTAGGGTGATATTGCCAACCTAGATGCTAAATAGGTGATTATTGCATAAGGGGGAAGAACCCTAACCTAGGGTTCATTTGTTTGAGTTAGTTTTATGTTGAATCTTGTTAATATTTGGTACGTAACTCTTATTAACTTGCTTTTGGATAGTTTTTCTCCACAATGAAAGTTGGG